CCCAACGTGATACTTGCATTAACTGAAAATCCAAGTTCGAAGTGTGTGTGTGCGTCGGAGAAGCGATCAGTCAGTAAGAAGTTGGCGTGCCTGCTGCCCCCTAAAGAAACGCCGCTCCGCATTTTGATCCCACAAGACTTCCCAGCTTGAAGATATGTCTTAGTGTCGTATGTGGCGCTCCGGATGTAAAAACAATAAAAAGGGCCGGCAGGCTGGCGGCGGAGGGAGTGCTGACGAAGTCGCTAAGAATCCCACCACCATCAATTCTCAAACGTGGACATTGACCTGTCGTGCGTGCGAGCGTGCGTACGTGCGTGCGTGCGTCCGTGCGTGCGTGTGTGCGTGCGCGGGCGTGCGTTCGCGGGCGTGCGCGGGCGTGCGTGCGGGCGGGCGGGCGTGCGGGCGTGCGGGCGTGCGGGCGTGCGGGCAGCATGCTGGTGGCTGCCATGCGCCAGAACGGGATTTTGATCTAGTCATGTTGTTTGGATGCAATTTACTGTGAGCTGGAAGCCAAGTTAAGACATGTCCTGTGTGTGTGTGTGTGCCTGTGCCTGTGCGTGTGCTTGCACATGTCTCAGAACTTGCGATTGCATGTCTACAAATACATCCATCGGGGATATATATATATATAGCTACATTTACACTGAAATGGTGTCCGAGTCCAACTATGCATTTCTGAAACTGTTTCCCCTTTCGATCTTTTTTGAGCGTACTTTGTATCCAAAAAAGAATGCATTCCTCCTATTGTCTTTTTCAGAAGTAAATTGCATCGTCGAATCTAAGCCAAGCTACGAGAGGCCCTCCTCAAATTTGGCCTCAAACCTGCGAGATGCTTCGATCGGTCAAATCAGCTCACCACGACGAAATGCCGCTGGGTGGCTGTACTGCAAAGGAGTCTCCGTCTCCCACTGAGACGGGATCAAATTTCACAGCCTCGGCTGAAATGCTGAAAGAAGAAACACTTCAAGGCTTCAAGAGAAGCCCAAGCGGAATTGTGAAGCTTGATGAAGCTTGATGAAGCTTGAACTGTTCTACCCAAGGCACTGCCCCATAATGTCTGGCTGCCTCCGGAACTTGGAGGCCAAGGTCACCCACAAATGCCTGCATGTGTCGAGCTTGGCCGAATTCAGCAACTGCTCATGTGGACACTCGAGGGACAGAGCCATGGAGCAGAGAGGGCGGAGGAGAGTGGATGCTTCCACTTTCCATTCCCCTGTCCCCCTCTCCTTCTCCTTTCTCTTCTCCCCCTCCCCCTCTCCCTCTCTGCCTCTGCCTCTTCCTCTGCCTCTGCCTCTCTCTCTCTCTCTCATTCTCTCTCTCATTCTCTCTCTCATTCTCTCTCTCA